AATATTCTCTCAGTGGTACGCATAGGGATACGGGGTTGCCGGTCTTTTAAATATATAGTCACTGCTCATACTTACGAATCGATTTCAGTTTGTAAGTCATTTACGCGCCAGCATGCGAAGTCTGGAATATTACAGGGATCTGCACTAGGGTTTACTTTATTTTTGACTTACATAAATGACATCTCACAATGTTCAAGAAATTGCTATTTTATTATAATTATTATTGATTATACTACGCTTAAAAATTCAAAAACAAATAAATTCGAAACAAGCCCTCTGAACAACTAATTGACGTTACGTCAATGTTGCTATAACAAACCAGCTATGTTTCACTTTTTTTTAAATGCTATGAAATGTTGAAGAGTTTTGAAATTGTATTTTTGGTTGTACCTTGAATTTTTTAGGCGCGAAACTTTTCGTTAATAACCCTGTATTTAACAAGAAATTTAAAATGCATGATGTTCATGAAGGTAGAATAGTGGTGTTAAAAAAAGTGCTCGTTACTGCCTATTTATACTCCATGTTTAGTACCTGTTCAGTTTCAAAAATCACAGATCAATGTTGGAAGTATGCAACCAATGTTACCTTTACTTGATTAAAAAAAAGCTGAACGTTATTTTATACGAATTATTATCATAATAACGTTATTATAATCCGGGAAGGCCGTTTTGAAAGAGCGAGTTTTTCTGAACCAATCACGTTCCTTTGTACTGAAACGTTAGAACTACTTTTTTGAACTTACTTGTCATTTTTTTGTACTCAAATGTCAGAAACTACTTTTGCGTCCTCTTGTCAAGATGACAGCTTTAATATTTAGGAATGTTTTCCCATTGCGAGTGGCAGCACTGTTACATTGTTGGTATTCATTTCGATTTTTTTTTTAAGTAAAATAATGTTTTTTTTTCTACCGCGCACGTTTTTCGATTTTCTAATAGAGCTATTAAAGCACCCAAATGACGTCAAAGCGGTTCGTTAATGGCCGAAAGGGGTTCTGAAATAGATCTGGTGTAATTTAGATCGGTAAGATTGGTAGCCATGACGAGAAATGTCAGGTGAATGTCAGTGGCAAATGTCAAATTAAAATTTCCCGTATTTCGGGAGGCGTAAGGACTTCACTAACTTCTTCACAAGACATTTTAACCAATTTTAACTTACAAAAACTCGAATTGATTCGAATTACAGTTGTTGTGAAAATTCGAACTTTAAATATTTCGTGGTTCGTGTCAGACCAACCCATCACCAACCACGACAAAATTCCCCAGATTTAAAAAAAAAACGCTAATATCAATTAAATGTGCGCGATAGAAACAATTGTATAAATAACTCGTTCATAAGGCCATTATCACACTCATCCTTTATATAACTCGTGGCTTTGCCACTCTTTCTATAAACTTGGATTCGTGCCTTAATATTTCCCTTATGAAACTCGTTCTTTAATATGCTATTACGTTTTTATGCTCATGCGTTTGTTAATGGTTATTATTTATTTCAAAATTTTTGTCGACACAGATTCGAAATAAAGTTGGCTGTATGTCAAGTATAGTAATTATGAAATTAACACCAGGTTAATATTTTCTAGATTTAATTTAATAATTTATCTATTTTCTGACGAACGGTTTAACGGATTAACCGAAATGTAATAAAATAATAATGTCATTAATTAACAGCATTAAGAGTAGTCACTAGAATGAAGAGGGGGGTGGGCGGGGCTATAGCTTGCTTATAAAACTCTGTAGGAAAAAGTTAAACATTTTTTTAACAGCTTAGGTTATTAACTCCCACCCCCATTCTACAGAGCAACATATAATTAACCCCGCCCACCCACCCCGCTTCCATTTCAGTGACACCTTCTATCTGGACTGAATGAAATGTGAATCTTATACTGAACAGAAATAGAATCGTTAGAATGAGAACAGCGCGGGTGAGCGGGGCCGAGATAAGATTGATTTTGGCAAATTACATACCGTCTATGTAAAGAAGATTAACAAAATTTGAACAAGAAGCGTCACTGTCACCAAATGGAGAAAACGATTTCTATAGCGCAGGTTCACCAAAGTGTGCAGACAGTGTGTTTAGTAAAGCTGTATCACACTGTTTTATCTTTGTTTATTGTAGGCGTAGATCGCATTTCTTAAAATAGACGTTTGTTGTCATTTATTTCATACACACATTTTTTTTCACTTTTCTAACCGTTTTAACCATAGAAAATTCAAGTTCTATTAATTACAAAGAAGTTTTGTTGTGACGTTGTTTCTAGAGGTTAGGTTAGTTTAGAGGTAAGGTTAACAGACACATATGTATTTTATTATTTAATCTTATTAACTAAAAATGTTAAATGAAAAATCAGAAATGAGAAATTAGAAATGCAAAATGAAACATCTGAAGTGAGAAATTTTCGCCCGACATAAATGACAAACAATTTATTTGTGTCAACATCCATCCTTTGATGAAAACTAACTTTTAAAATTCCCGCATCAAAGCACCCCAACAAAGTGGCTGAAGGTCACCAAAATTGACCAGCAAAAGATCAAAGGCACCGACACGAGTGTCGCTTCTTGTTCAAATTTTGTTAATCTCCTCTGCTCTAAGTAAATAAAGGGCGGGTGGGCGGGGCTAGTACTTGCTAAGAGTAATTTTGGCAAATGACATACCCCCTAGGAAAGTAAAGGACGGATGGGCGGGGCTATTGCTTGCTTATAAGACTCCGCAGAAAAAAGCTAAACTCAACCCCGCCCACGTCCTTTCTCCATTTCACTGACTATTTTGTTTACTGTAAAATGTAAATTGAATTCTATTTTGACAAGCGGTAAATCTAAAATTTAAAACAAAGTCAAAAGTGGCCCCGCCCACCCTCCCCTATTCTATTTCAATCACTCATTTTATTGGCTCTGGGACATAAGTTGGTTTTTATTGACAAATAATAGAATCTGGGATTACCTTTTTTTTCTTTTTTATAAAATTTAATTTTTTTCGAACTTTTTTTTTCGAAAAACGCAGCATTTAGGTTTAAATAATAAAAAAATCACATGAAGTAACACAATTGGAAATACCAACCCTCTTCTCTGGGCCAAATAAATGATTTATTAAGGTGGAGCTTGTGCGATTGGGAGGAGCATCGGTAATATTGCTTTTCAATGTGATTTTCACGTCACACCAACTTAATGCTTTCTAGCTACCTTGTTTAACAGTTTATCTATTTTCTCACCAACAGTTTAACAGATTTGTCTAAGATTGTAATAACGTAATGATGTTTTTATTAATTAACAATCTCAAGAGTAGTCACTAGAATGTAATGGGGGCGAGTGGGCGGTCCTATATGCTTACTTATGAAGACTTTGTAGGGAAAAGTTAAAGTTTAGTAAAGTATTAAGCTGGTGTTAATATTGTATAATATGTCGTCGTTTTAATCATAAGTTCGAACTGATAAAATTAGTTAATTTTTTTGTAACGAAGTCTAAAGCTAAACCTACTACCTAAACCTAAACACCTAAACAAAGCCTACTGCGTTGATAACCATTTTGAAATGTTGTATAGGTTTAGTTCCTCCATGATTTAGATATTGGTCGTATGACATATGACATTTTACAATTGACAGTCCGATCTGTTACCACCAGAGACTTTAAATACAATTAAAGTCTCTGGTTGCCACCCAATAAAAATAAAAATGATTAATTTCAATATTACGTTTGAATTTTAGGCCGGAAAATCTTATTTTTTTAGATATCTCTAAAAAGAGGAAAAACGAACGAAAACTCAAAAAATAAATTATAAAAATGTAAACAACCAACTACTTTGGAATTTCTTATTGTATAAAACAAGTGTATATTTTTGACGTAACATTGGTTGCATATTTCCAATACATTGCCCATTGCCTTCGTTTTTTTCAAATTGAACATAGGGACCAAGTATGGGATATGTTCAGAGTTAAAAAAAAATGTACCAGTATACTATATAGTGAATAAGAATCTTTGAATATCTAGGAGACAAAAATGAGAATTTAAAAAAAATGGAACGATGGGTACCCCATATCTATTTCTGTAATTCTGTAATGTACATTAAATAATAATTAGATTATTAAAAACTAGAAACTCTAAAATATTCCAGCATATTATTTTTTAGTGTTTTACCGCAAAACTTCCAGATTTAATATACTAATGGAAAATGCTTGTTATTCAATTGAAAAGTTTGGTGCATGTAAAATTGTTGGTAATTTAAACACTGATAAACGTACTTGTTTACTTCCATAAAGCTTATAGATTATTATCGGGCAAACATGAAATTTTCATTTAAAAGTCATAAATTTAAATACCAACAATTTGAATGCTTTCCCTGCAGACTAAATCTTTTTGTATAAAATAAAATCAAAAAATTAAAACTAAATCCTGTGTATCACTTTGGTATCTTATTAGTAATATAAATTGTGATTATTTTAATGTTTTCCAACGCTCCTCCATGTTAAATATCGGTTTTCGCTTGATTCTCGTAATTTTAAATTCATTAGTTCGCGCTGTCAGCCGTTCGCGCCTTTTTTTAAGCGATGGGACATATTATAGAAACTTTAACAACCACAGAATAAACCGTGAGTTAAAAACTATTGAATTTGAATTGACAGCGTACCTAGTCAAGATAAAATTAAGAAATATCGTGTGTAGATCACATAACTTTTGTAAATAATTCTAATTATATCGTGGTAATAAAAGAAAATCAGTCACATCGATGAACGTTAAATTTAATGTTTTCTTACCATTTGACAGTTCACAGTCCATAAATAACGCGTAGAAAACAGATTACTTTGACATTTCAGAAGCACTTTTAACATTGTCCATATTGATAGTAAAACGCCTTACTAAGTATGGTATCCCCCCTCAGAATTGGTGACGTCATCTCAAAATTTTATTTAACACTTTCATTATGTAACATAGGAGACATGACAATGGTGGTTTGTTGTTTTCTCCAAATACTTAAAGTTATTTATTCGTGTCTCATGTTATGCATTTTAGGATACAACTGGACGGAAAGTAAACCAACATCGATTAAAGTGTGCCCAAACGAACGAGATCTCCAAAAATGGTAATGCGATAGCTGTGTCGGGCGGGTTACCTGATGGCGATCAAACCAGCAACAATCAACTTCTCACAAAAATAAATAACTTAACGGAGTGCCAAAGTCAGTTACATGGGGCTGTTAAACGTATTCAATATTTACAACTAGCGACTGTCGCATTGGTTGTTGTTTTGGGAGCTTTGGTATCTTACATAATCCATCTCGAAAACCGAGAGGGGTTCTCTGGTTCGTGTAGGGCTCCATAACAATAACTGTTAGAAGCAGGCTCCAATCAAATTAATTTAATTCAAAAATTGTTGCAGAATACAATTTACCTGTTGTTTTATTTAATCTGTATATTTAAATTGATTTTGTGCTTTTAGTTGCTGGTGCCTGCAGTAATGACAATATTCTATACTTACATTCCTATATAAATTCAAAATTTACTATTTTGGTTATTTAAGATTTTAAAACTTTTTGTTATTTTAGTGCAGTACTTTTTGTTAAATCCATATCAGCTTGAGTGATATTGTTATCAAAGTTGTAACGGCAAAGTCAACAATGGTTGGATCTTTGTCGACTGTACTATATATATTTGAGCCTGTATATTTTTGTTGGTGATCTTAGGAAGAGCATATTGTTAACAAAACTTCGCTTTCTTTTGAGGTTTTATATTTTTATTTAAGATTTTTTCATGCTATGTACAATCGCATTAAAAGAACTGATCAAAGGTTATTTGTATATATTTTTGCCTATGTGTAAGTTACACAACTATAAATAGATTTTGTTTTATATTGCAAATTATATATTTTTGTTTATTACTTTTTTGAGATGTGTATTTTATTTACTTGGTTACTCTGATAACACATAAACTGACCTAGGATTATTACTTTGTTACAAATATTCCTACAAAACTGCCAAACAACCATAATATTAAAGTATTAACTATAACACTGTGAGTAAGTCTACTGAGACATGAAATTTGGATATGTTTTTTCTTTAAATGCCTAAAAGTATCTAAAAATACCAAAGAAAAAAATATCTTAAACTTATGATCTCTTTGTGGCTACAGTTCCAAATTTCATTTAGCCTCAGACTTTAGATGTATTGCTAAAACAACAACACAATAGCTCGGATTGGTACAAATTAGTACATACATCTCAGATCCAGTATCTTTCAACATAATTGTTATCAACCAATCGAACTTCATTTACGCTTGTAACAAGTATTTTTGTACAATGTTCTGTAAGAATACTTCCCCAAATTTCACATTTACGGAGAGTAGATAAACGATAGTTGACAATGTAGAAAAAATTATATTTAGTTCAAAAAAACAACTGTATAAAAATAAATTAATACAAAATGCGCCTTTTATTTAATTTTATTAGTAATGCAATATTTTTTCTTTTTGAATAATACACAGTGCCAGAGGAATAAAGTTAGAAATTTATATTGAATGGATAATTTACTCAAGATTTTAGTTCCATGTTCAGATAACTATAGAAGAATGTGAACTGACACACCAAAAACAACGAAAGTTTCCAGCAGACACTAGTTCGATATCAGCCACATAAAGCGTTTAGCAAAAATACTAAACCAAGGCTTAAGACTAGTTCACATTTTCAGCAAGATGTCAATAAATTGTTTATATGGTACTAACATAAATAAGGTTCCTCAAGTAATGTAGGAATCAGTTAAGGATACAGTTAAGAAACTTAATCCCTTTCCATAAACTCCCGTTTCCGTCTGTCCGACTCGTAATCATACAATGGTATATTCATTTGATCCACTCCAAAAACTTGATGACGTCATTTCAAAATTGTGCATATAAAACGTGCAAAATATGCACTTACACTTGTGGTTTATCAATGCAGCATTATTTTTTGGAATTGCTTATCTTTTAAAGTTAATAAGTGAAGCAATTTTAATGTTGTTACAAAATTTTGTCAAGAATTATATATAGTTCTAATTTGATAATCCAATCCTATTGTATTTTAATATAAAGGGTTATCTTATCAAAAAAGTGCAATTTATCTAACAAAACGATCTTTTTTTATTGTCCTAAAGGCGATAATTGCAAACCTTGGTTTAAACTGATTTTAACTGTTGAAAAAAATTGGTTGTTATTGTTTACTTCTTTCTCACTTCTTTATCTATTACTTACTGTTTTACTACGTACACTTTATAACAATGAGTGAATAAAATAAAGAATACAGGCATATCGGGTGTTCAATTAAAAAAAAAAACAAAAACGCATGTGTTTTATTAATTCGTACAGCTGTATATAATTGACATTTCCACGTTGTGAGCTGTCATGCTGTCATCAATTAAATTTGAGGTTAATTGTAGACATACTTCACAATGTTTACAAAAAACCAAAGCCAACTTGATGACTTTTTTAATTGATACCTGTTATCTTTGTTCATTTATTCTTTTCCGCTCTATAGACATACGTAGCATTAGAAAAAATAAAAATAAATTTGTTAGAATGAAAAACCTAAAAAAAAAAACTAATACAGTCAGTCAAATTGCAGGTTCCTGTAAATGCATAATAATCAAATGTTATTTTCTTTAAATTTTTGTTCATTATCACATTTCACGTAACACAGATTCAATTAAGAAGCAATAAAATATTTTGAAATAGGATTATTACAAACATTTCTTTTAAATATAACTGGGCAACATCCTGCGGAATAGTTTATGAATATGATACAAATCACCCCCTCTAGTATACAGGGCCCATAACCTATGAAAATTTATGAACAGGCTTTCTCTACCTGACCAACAAATTTTTATTAGTTGCTTGTTGCAACAGTTGTAATCAAACAAATGTAACAAGTCACTAAAAAAATAATTTCATTAAACTTTTAATAAAACATTTGTTATATAAATTTATTATACAAAAAACAGCTTCTAGTACATTCAATAAAAATGATTTTATCATTTGTTTAGTTTAACTTAAGTCACTAAAAACTTTGTGTGTGTTATCCAGGCCCTTTATTTTAACTCCTAATTTAGGAAAACATCAAATATTAATCCAAATAAATTTGTTTAAATATTTTTTCTACACCACACATCAAAGATGATACGACGAGTATTGTTTGAAAGTTATCAAAATTTTAAATCAACAGAAACAATTTAACACGCAACCAACAATACGTAACAGTCTTTGATATTTACCATCATAATTTTTTTTAAATAATTTGGAAAAAAAATCAATTTTAGATTGTAAGCAAACACCAACAAATTCAAAGTAAGAAGTCATCAGGGTGTCTCTTGTACGGATAATGTTCTCTATAGAATCGTCAAGCAGTAGCTGTATTTTTCAGCACTCACCACATACCAAAGTCATTTAGTCTTTTCGTCATTATTGAATACAATACTTATTAAAAAGAAATGTATTAAATATCCAAAATGGCTTTGAATTAGAGGTGAAAACATCATGTGAACGAATTTTCTAAGCTTGGAGGATCATATAAAAAAATCTTACTAACGCATTAATATTTTCTGGTAATTATATTTATTTCCTGATCAACTTATTTTCTGGAAATTTTGTTATGTTAAAACATGTTGATAACATGCTCTTTTTCTATAATTATGGTTTTTTAGTAATCCCATGGGTAAATCAATTTTATCGAATGTTCAGTTGTTTATGAAGCGACATATTTTATACCTTTGCAATTCTTTCAGAATTGTGTGGATATAATAAATCATGACAATGTCAGACATCTTAAAATCCTTGTTATTAACGTGTCCTTACTATAAAATTAAATTTATGACTTTTTTGTTCAAAAAATAGCTGATACGTGTTAATATGCATAGGGAATTAGTTGTGCTTCCGGGGTGAGGTAAGTTCTGCAAAAATAACTTTAAAGCTATTAGTTTTTCTATATTTAACTAAATGTAAATGTTTCTTGGGTTTCTTTTTTACACCTATTTTGCTGCAATCATTATAAGTAAGATTTTTATATTATGGTAATGGGGAGAAATAATTTTGAGGTAAAATTCCCCACTAAGCAAACATTTTGTTTGTTGTCCACTGAAAAGACGATATTTACGGATTTATTTATCTTTGTTTAAAGTTAAATAGAATTCACATATTTAAATATAGTTATAAATAAATAATATCTGAAACTGGGTGTACATGTATCTATTTTTAAAACATCATCTTTAACTTTTATACGATGTATATCTGTATTTATTGGATTAGTGTATTTTGGAAAAAGTTGTAGTTTAGATACTTAAGTTGGTTTTTGATATTTTATTATAGACGTTATCTTTGCAATTTTTTAAAGTTGAAAAATATAATTTCCAAACAGAAGTTTCGGATTAATAATGTTATAACTACATGAAGCAAATGTAGTTTTCTTTCCATTTGTTAATTCATACTGTATCATCTATTCCTATAAATTAAAACTTTTCTGTTTACCAGTTAAGTAGGCATGTATTTATACGCGGCTCTTTTTTATTCCTAATCTTTCAATAAACACTTTAACTTTGTATATTTTTTTTAATTTTAATGGCTGTAATAAAAGTAAATTTTACATCCGAAAATCATTAGAAAGTACAATGATGCATAACACAAATCACTGAACAATAAAATCCCATAGAAGATGAAATCTTTCGTGAAATGATTTTCATTGTTAAAATACATGTTAGCCTCAGCAAAAGCAATAACTCCATTGTTTGATTGCCAACCAACCCAACAAATTAAACCCTCGCGACCATAAATCCGTCCAGCATTCCACACGTCCCGAAAAAGTGTCATTTTTGCCCAACAACAAAAACCCACGACAATTGCCCATTTCAAATAACCGCCACAGCCTAGACGCGCTCACATTGGTCGTCCGCGCTCGCCCCGCGCATGCGCTTCACGCGTCGATCCCTGTCCTACTTGCTCCGCTGGCCTCGCCATCTCTGAGTGCATCGAACAGACGCTGCCATTGCGATACGCCCTCACAGGACATTCTTGGAGTTAAAAGGTGAGTCGAGTTTCCACAAATACGAACCTAACCCCCCAAACGGGCCCAAAATCGCACAGCACTCGGCGGCGGCGGCGCTCCGCCGCCTTTTGGGGCCGGTTTGGGCCGCCAACGGCCCCGCGAACGCGGAAAATCGGCATTTTTGTGCACGGCGACACTTTCCCTTTATGCCTTCTCCACGTTGATGACAGCGCCAACCGTGCTAATTTCCCGAAATTTTTGTTGAAATGCCCCCTACATCCAGCTTCGTCAAGTATGGATTGTCACGGATTTAGCGGCAAAATTGGGGCCCTGGGGGGCTGCAGGGGACGGATGCGGCCCAGAAGCGACTCGGCGTCCTATTTTTAACGCAGCTGCAGTTAAACGGGAAAATGGCGGCAGGCTGCCTTGACGAACATTTCGAATTGTAAGGCCACTTTCAAGTCGGGAATTTTGGAGGGAAAACGCCAAATTGAAATTTTTGAAATTCGGTCGGGGGGATGTGGCACGAGATTTTTTATTTTTGTTTTAAATTGCAGGAGTAGAATACGTGCAGTATGACTGCACAATTCACCCAAAATCCAATCAAATTGGAAGGTGTGGATTCCTCGGAGAATGTTACAGAGATCCAATCTTATTTGGCTGGATTTCAAAAGGAAATCGGGAATGATGCCCCCATACACCAAGTTGCAGGTGAGTTAAGTTTAAAGTTGGCATTTGGAGACTACTGACGTTTCATTTAAGCAGAAGAAAATGAAGGAGAGGCTGAAGAAGGCACTTACTTTGTTGATCAAGCTGGTCTTTATTATTACCAGGCGAAAGGTGATGGACAGCCAGTTATGACGGTTATGACAGGGATTTCTGAATCGGGAGGCGATGAAGGTGAAGAGTTTATAATTAATCCTCACAATGAAGAAGAAATGGAAACTGAAGAAGGGGAAGAGGTATATTTGTGTATTTTTTTTTTTGTGAAATGTGTTGGTGTAGGAGCGCCAGTGGGGTTTGAACCAATTTAATTATTTATTATAACAAATTATTAAACGAAGTCAACTTGCTCAATGATTCATAATCCATTGAGTGTTTTTAATTATATTTAGGTTTTGTGGAATGGACTAATTAACGTATTGATTTATGCAGTTTGAATTAATTATGATGACCTAAAATGGACTTAAATTAGTGCCATTAGTAAATTCTTTCATTTTACTAAATTTACTGCTCCCCTGGCTGGTGATATTTGATTTCCCACTTTGGTGGTTCAGAAAAGGATAAAGGAAACTAGAAAATTTTAATCACCATTGTAGATTACCTTGATCATGGAAAATTTTATCGTTGATTTTTCAGGCATTTATAATTTGTAGACATTTAAGTATGAAAGGATTTTGCTCTTTTTGTTCAACATAGCTAGAAATTTGACAAATATTGCTTGTGATTCTGTTTCACTTCTGACCATATAGCTTTTTTTTTAATTTATAATCAAGTGATAACACATAACATGTGGGCAACTAACGCCTGACCTACTAAAGTATTAATGTAAACACAATTTAAATTGTGGCAAATTTTTTGTCACTGATTCAGTTTTATAACGAAGTGGTTTTGAGTTAAATTTACTGTAAAAAAACTCTGAAACAAAATGAAGTAAAATCTGGCTTTCAAAGTATAAATCTAACCCCCGATAAGTCGCATTATTTAACCTAATTTTGGTTAATATATGGTGATTAATACTCGTTTCGTGACTTTATTAACTTTTTTAAGTATATGTTTAATTTTCTGATATATTGAAACAAAAACATATGCAAATTACCAACTTAACATGTAGATAAATGAAATTTGGGAGCAGTAAACTAGTGCGAAATTGCGATCAATTACATGTATATTTTGGATCTTATTAGCTTTTTATTTCATTTTGGGAACGCCTGAAAACTAAGTGGGCGCTTGTTGAGAAGATACAGTCTATCTAAGAATAATCTAGAGTTGATTTGTTTTCTGCTATACCGGGTGACTGGAAAATGTCGGGTTAACTATCCGCTACGCTGTTAACAATCAACTGGTGAGCTTGGGAAAAATAGTAAAAAAAATCCTCACATTTTGGTGGCGTTATAATAATTTTAAAATTGGTTCTTTTGATACGTTTAACAACTAAACAACACATTCATTGTCACAATAACTAGTAATAACACGTTGTTAATATTTCTCTGCCCCACGACCATGTTTAATTACAATTTCTGTTAGAATGTACAACGATAACGTTGTTTTTGTAATCTTCTTCTTCTAATATATAAAATTCTCGTGTCACAGTGTTTGTAACCGAACTCCTCCGTGTATATTCGGTAGGTCTGAGAATAGGTCGTAAAATTTTCTTTATTTTTTGGACATTTTAAATTTTTTTCAAGTTTTGGCATCATAAATACATATAACCCTAAATTTTCACCCTTTTACCACCAACCCTCATTTTGTAATAACAATATTAGTATCTTGACTTTCATCCACAGATGCGCAAAAGGGTTGCAAGATGGCTGCTGAATATAATCATTGTCGTACGATAAATTTTTATGTATAATATATAATTTATTTATTTAATTTAATTGTTTATTTAACTACCAGAATATTCACTAGAAATAGTTTATATGGCAAAACAACGTTTGCCGGGTCAGCTAGTAATTTGATAAAATTCCATTTGACAACAATGTTGTTGTGTTGCTGGATGAACTTGGAAAAATCTTTTGAGCTTTGAGTGTTTTATTTTTTACGAAATTGAAAAAGCCTTGAGCGCCGCAGTTTTTTTTTTAATTCGGGTGACTTGAATTTTTTTTTGTAAATTATTTAAAAGAATTTTGGGGGACTTTGGTGTTGTATTTTTGGAAAATTCTGACCTGACCTGTTTTTGAGTTAATTTTTGGGACCCATTTTTTTTTTTTTTTGAAAATTTAAAACAATCATGAGGTTTTAGGTATTCCAGAATTTGACAGTGCTTTGGAATCTGTAGTGTTTTTTCTTGTATTATTTTAATTAAATTTCTTAAGAGGATACGTCATTTGCTAAAATCAGCCTAATCTTAGCAGGTACTCTAGCCCCCTCCGCCTGCCCTCTCTTTTCTTAGAGGGTATGTCATATGTTAAGTCAGTCTTATCTTAGCAGGTAGTAGCCCCGCCCACCCACCCTCTCTTTTCTTAAAGGTCAGTTTACATTATGGGATTTTTCTTAGGAACTTTCTTAAGCAAATTCCTTATGATTTTCTTGTGATTGCCGTAGGAATGAACGCTATGATCAACATTCGAGTTTTGGTGTTTATATTTTTGTGAAGTTGCTTTTGATTGTTGATGTTAGGGTTCGTTTTGATATTTAACCTAAAATCTAAAATTTTCTAACCTATAAAGAGGTGACAACACTATGTCTGAGAAGACATAAAGTATATTGTACAGTTTCGGCCACAAAATCTTGGGCAGTTTTGTCATTCCAGTGACATAAGCTCTGAAACAGGCTTTACGTACCTATAACCTCAAATTTGCCATGTTTGTCATTTTGACGTAGACTGGAATGTGGATGATGACGTATGTCAAAATTTATTTTTTAAAAGTGTCAATCATTATGACAATAAAGCATAGACTACATCGTATTTTTTTTAAATGACAGAAAAATACTGGCCAAGATTTTCTGGCCGAAACTGTACATCAAAAAACGTAAACGAATAAATAACGAATCTAAAATCAGCTGACAATAGTGACAAATCGGTGTAGGTAACCTAAAATATATATCGTGAACCGGTGGAAATTACCTTATTTTAGTGCCAAATTTAAAAGTTTCTGTACAACATTCTCAAGCTATTCACAAAAAATGGGCACCGTCGTATTCCTAGGGACGGCCTATGAATGCTTAAGAAATCGCTTAGGATTTCACTTGGAGTGTTTTCTTAAGAAAAATCACATAGTGTAAACAACAGAATTTTTGCTTAGGAATTATCATACGAAATTTCTTACGGAAATCCTAAGAAAAATCCCATAATGTAGAATTTAGAGGGTACGCTATTTGCCAAAATCAGTTTTATCTTAGCAGGTACTAGCCCCGCCCACCCACCCTCTCTTTTCTTAGGAGCTATGTCATCTATCAAAATCAGTTTTATCTTAGCAAGTACTGATGACTAACTTTTACAAAAAATTATCAAAATTTGGAAACATACGAGCTTACTTATATGCACAAGGCAGGAATTTTGAGTATGCCGGAGCTAATTCACGTATTAGATGCGTGCAGTGTTGCCAATTTTACTTTTATAAAATTGCAATTTTTTATAGCGTACATCATAAAGAATTTTTTAAATATTTTTTGTGACTACCGAAACATACTGAAGAGTTAATCCGCCATTTTCCAGACACCCGGTATAGTATAGTTTTTAATTATTATGTGGAAGTTTCCTTGCAGTTTACTTCTTCAAATTTCATTTGTCTGTTAACAGCCGTTCCAAATGCTAATGAGGGGAACTTCTAAGACTTATTAAGGGTTGTTCATGTAAGAGTTATCTCACTCGTAACTTTTTTGTTTATAAGGATAAATTATTGAAAATTTAAATGCTCCTACATTATTTAATAAATAATATTATAGTATTGTTAAATACTGAATAGTGTGTTTGGCTTGACTAGGACGCAATATACTCTCATTTTTTTTTGTAGATAATAAACCTTAATTTACAGATAAATGTATCTAAAATTAAAAATTTTAGATATATTTTTTTTAAAGTAGTCTTTTAAGCTTATCGAATCTAATCAATTTTAAATATTTGTGATAAGTCTAAATAGCATGTATTAAAAAAAATATGCGTAATCATCAGACTGAAATAGCCTAAATGTCCACAATCTTATTTTAGTACGTAACTATTCCGTCATAATTCTTGTCTTTTGAATTTTAAACTTCAGATATCGCATTGATGATAATTACAAGGCTCACAACCTAAGAAAGGTTAAATTAAGTGGTATTACGTCCCAGCAAATTGTTTGTTCTTGTTTTTTTCATTGTCCGTCGACTTTATATTGCTGCTTATAAAAAAAAAATATAAAATTCTTCTTATATCTATAAAGTACTGTCGCTAGCCCTGAAGTTTTCAAGCTCATTTAAACATGAAGAACACGAACCCGACAATACATTTAGTGATACATTTACTAATACAATAATATTCTTCATTAAATAATATGTAAAAATTCTTGCCAATTTTACTCGTTTGTCTTGATAAACAAAAAGTACTGTAAATTTAATTTATTTAATGCCTCGATGTTCATTTCAAGGCACTACCGGTTCAAGAATCCGAAAACCAGATCCTCATCAACTCGGGTAACGCTTATCAAAGAGTCACAGTAGTGCCGGCCGACACCAACTCCAGCGAACTCAGTTACGTGCTGATAGTACAAGATCCATCGGATTTGAAGGACGGAGAGCAAACCGACGGAGAGCAGGATATGACGGTCTACGATTTCGACGAAGGCGAAGAAGGAGGTGTGATAGATTCGGAGACAGACGACGACAAGTCAAAGATAGTCAAAATCTTACCGCGGAAGTCGCAGGTGGTTTCGCAAGCCCACATGTGCAACTACTGTAATTATACGAGTCCGAAGCGCTATCTTCTGTCCCGTCACATGAAGTCCCATTCGGAAGAGCGACCACATAAGTGTAGCGTTTGCGAAAGGGGTTTCAAGACTTTAGCATCACTGCAGAACCATGTGAATACGCATACGGGTACTAAGCCACATTCTTGCAAATATTGTGATTCGGCGTTTACTACGTCAGGTAATGCGCGATTTTTATTGGATGGTGGAAATGTTATTGAGTTGGATTGTTTGTAGGGGAATTGGTGAGGCATGTGAGGTATAAGCATACTCATGAAAAGCCTCATAAATGTCCAGAGTGTGAATATGCTAGTGTTGAATTGTCGAAGTTAAAGCGGCATATTCGGTGTCATACTGGCGAACGACCGTATCAGGTAAGCTCAATTTGTGTATTAATTTAGAAATCTATGTTTGTAATTAACCATTTTTACTTTCCTGAGCGTAAGCTACCTTCGACCAATTTTTTGATATCGCAATTTTTCGTTTTTCCATTTTCGTCGATTTTACAATTTTTTGAAATCGCAGTTTTTCGTTTTTTCACTTTCATATTACAGTTTTTCATTTTTTGATTTTTCAGTTCCTCAGTTTTTTGATTTTTTGATTTTTCATTCAATTTCCCGATTTTTAAATTTTCATTTTCTCCATTTTATACCAGTTGATTCAATTTTTCTTTAGTTTTTAAATTAATCGATTTTTCAGTTTTGCAATTTTTGGATTTCGAATTACCGGATTTTTCGATTACTTTAATTTTCAATATTTTGATTTTACAATTTTTCGTTTCTTCAATTTTTTAAGTTCTTAATTTCCATTTTTTAGATTTTTCAAAGTTTTCATTTTAAACTTTTTCGTTTTTTCATTTTTGATTTTTCAGTGTTACAGTTTTGCAGTTTTTCTGTTTTTTATTCGAAGAGTTGGAAAATTAAAAAATTGAAAAAAAATTAAAACATTGAATTATCGCAAAATTGAGAAATTAAATATGTATTAAGAACTTGAAATATTAAAAGTCGAAAAATTGAAAAATCGAATAAATGAATAAATTATAAAATCCAATCATCGAAAAATGGAAAAATTTTCAAAAATCGTAAAATTAAAAAAGTAAAAAATATATATTCTAATTATTATTATATATTTAAAATGAAACCTAGAAAAATTGCAAATGAAAAATTGAAAAATTTCACCTTGAAAAAAAGAAAAATGATAAAATAAGAACATTGAAAAACCGGGAAATTGGAAAAATTGCAAATGAAAAATTGAAAAACCGAAAATCCGAAAAATTAAAAATGAAAACTGGAAGAATTGTATGTTATAGAACTGAAGAAACGAAAAATTGAAAAATGAATGAAAATAAACCGAAACGGAAATTTGAAAAAATGAAAAACAGAAGAATCGAAGAAATGAGCAAGTTTTTAAATCTAATAATTGAAAAATGTAAAAATTCTAAAATCGTATTTTTTTAATTTATTAGGATTAATATTATCGAAAAATTGCAAATCGAAAAAATTGAAAAAACAAATTAAAAAATATTACATTGAAAAAAGAAAATAAAAAACCGAAACGAACAATTGAAGAATCGGAAAATTTTAAAATGAAAACTCCTGAAACTACACATCTAAAATAAAGTTTAAAAATGAAAATTCGAAGAATTGCATATCGTAAAATTAAAGAAAAAAAAAGAAAAATTGAAAATTTACAAACCGAAAAATTGAAGCATTGAAAAACTTTAACGATTGAAAAAAATTGAATTGAAAAATTGGAAAATCAAAAAATTAAAAAAAAAATATAGAATCGTCAAAATTGTAAAGTCGAAAAACCGTAACATTAAATTATCGAAAAATTAAATAAATGAAATAGTTTTAAAATCCAATAATTGAAAAATGGAAGAATTCAAAAATTCTACAATTGAAAAAGCGTTTTTTTTTAATTATAATTATTATTACATATTTAAAATGAAACCTGGAAAAATTGCAAACTAAAAATTGAAAAAACGAAACATTGAAAAATTTAAATGTTGAAAAATCGAAAATTTAAAAAATTTCACATTGAAAAAAAGAAGATTTATAAAATCAGGACATTGATAAACCGGGAAATTGGAAAAATAAACAAAAGAAAAACCGAAATGAAAAATTGAAGAAATGAAAAGTCGAAAAACCGAAAAATTTTAAAATGAAGACTCGTAGAATTGAAGAAACGAAAAATTGAAAAAATAAAGAAAATAAACCGAAACGAAAAATTGAAAATCGGAAATTTGAAAAAATTAAAACAAGAAGTACCTATCGAATAAATAAAAAAAATTTAAAATGGAAAAAGTCTGAAATCGTAAATTTTTTTAAGTATTAAAATCGAAAAATTGAGAAACATCACATTGAAAAAAAGAAAGTAAAAAACCGAAAGGAAAAATTGAAGACACTAAAATTGAAAAATAGGAAAATTGGAAATTTAAAATTTGAAAACCCGTGAAACTACAAATCAAAAAATTGGAAAATTGAAAAACTGAAAAATTTGAAAATGAAAATTCGAAGAGTTACACATCTTAAAATTGAAGAAACAAAAAAATGAAAAACTGAAGATATGCAAATCGAAAAATTGAAAAAATTAAAAATTATAAAATCGGAAATCGAAAAATTGTAAAAATAAAGACAATAAAAGTCAAAGAATCGAAAAATTAAAAATTGGAAACTCGAGAAATTATAAATCGATTGTAAATTGTAAAATTTAAAGATTGAAGAAATGAGAAAAATGAAAAATTGGAAAAGCGCAAATCGAAAAATTGACGTGACGGAAATCTGGAAAAATTAAAATTAAAAACATAAAAAATTGTAAAATCCAAGCATTGAATAATCGAACAATTGAAAAATAAAAAAAATAAAAAACCAAACGAAAAATTGCAAATCGAAAAGTTGAAAAATTAAAAATTGTAAACCTGAGAAACTCAAATCGAAACAATATAAAATCTTAATATTTAAAGATTTAAAAGTTGGAAAATTGAAAAACTCGAAATATTGAAGAAACAAAAAAAGAAAAATACAACAATTGAAAAATCCAAGTCAAAAAAGCTGTAGAAGTGTCATTTACGTCACTGGTTTTTACTTTATGGAGGTTACCAGAAAACAAAAATCGCAAAATTTAGTTATAATATTGTAAAATTTTGTTTTCGGTTATAATGTAGAGTTGTACATATTTTGACAGTGGGTCTCCATCGACAGCAAAAACAGAAATTACGTAGAAATCAATTTTATTTTCACGAGAGCTTTCGTTTTGGGTTAGTGTAAGGTACTTCAGACGAGGTGCTTGATTTTTATAAACACAAAAATAATATTCTTAGACTCTTTTAACAAAATTGGCTCAAAATTCTTGAGTACATGTAAAACTACCTAACAGTAAAATTATTAACTAATAAATAAACTTTATTACATTTTTTATGGTATTGATTGCAATAATTGTTAAAACACACTTTGCAAATTTTCGTTAAAAATAAAATTATGTTCATTTTTCAGTGTCCACACTGTACATACGCTAGTCCAGACACCTTCAAGCTAAAGCGCCATCTACGAATACACACCGGCGAAAAACCGTACGAATGTGACATTTGCAAAACTAAATTTACTCAGTCCAATAGTTTAAAGGCTCACAAATTAACCCATAATAGTAAGTTCCTCATGATCTCTTAACCATTTTTTTTAACAACAAAGTAAATTTCAGTTGGTGATAAACCCGTCTTTCATTGTGAATTTTGCCCCACTACCTGTGGGAGAAAAACAGACTTACGAATTCACGTCCAAAAGCTTCACACTTCTGATAAGCCATTAAAATGTAAAAGATGCGGTAAATCATTCCCTGACAGGTATAGTTACAAGGTCAGTATGATAACACTATGAAACGTTTATGATTCTAATATTTTACCACTATTATCTAGGTTCATAATAAAACTCACGAGGGTGAAAAATGTTACAAATGCGATTTATGTCCATACGCTTCGATATCAGCACGCCATCTGGAGTCGCACATGCTCATTCACACAGACCAAAAACCGTACCATTGTGATCAATGTGATCAGAGTTTCCGTCAGAAGCAACTCCTTAAGAGGCACCAAAACTTGTACCATAATCCAGATTACATCCCTCCACCTCCTCGGGAAAAGACTCATGAGTGTCCAGAATGTTCGCGAGCCTTTAGACACAAAGGAAACCTCATTAGACATATGGCGGCTCATGATCCCGATCCGAGTATTCAGAGGAAGCAGATGGAATTGAAATTAGGTAGACAAAAGAAGATACAGATGATCGACGGCCAACAGGTTGAGGTTATACCGGGGATGGATTCGGACGAAGAGGACGAAGAAGGGGAGATTGACATGATGGCTGTTGAAGGTTCTGATGGTCAACAGTACGTTGTTCTGGAAGTCATACAGTTGGCGGATGGAGAGGAGCAAGCGATGGTAGTAGGTGGAGATGGGAGTAGTGAGTTATTGAACGACAATATCATGCCAGATAGTGGTACGTAAATGGTGTTGATTTCGAACATTTTGGTTATAAATTTGTTGTAGATCTCAATGGTGAAGATGTTATAAAAGCGTTGCAGTCAGCAAGAAGAGTGTACAAATCTGAAGAGCCGAAGAAAGAGAGTACGGAAAATGATATGCAGAATTGCTTTGGGTTTGATGTAAGTGGTTAGCTATTTTTTTTTAATATATGTAATTTGTTTCCGTGGTTTTAGGAAGATGAAGAGGAAGAGGAAGAAACGGGGAGGAAAGAAACCATTACGCTTTTAGATCAGATTGACTGAATTTCCACTTTTTTAATTTTCTTGGAAATTTCTGAACTTTAGAAAATTTATAAACAAGTAATTTAAAAAGTGTATTTTAAGATTTAAATTTAATTTATTTCACTTCTTTATTAGTTTATAATTTATTAGATTGATTTTAGCAGTGTAAAATTTTGTACATATTAAGAATTCCAGTCTACAAATTAGATCTTTTGTATATATTTTCATGTTATTTGTAATTGTAATAAATCTTCATTTAATAAACGAATCAAATACTTTTATTTTTTAAAAACGAGAGTTCATGGTCGAATTTTAGTGCATATCATCAATGGAGGTACCAATCCATTGCACTTGATTGAACTTTGTATTTGTCTTTATAGACCAAAAAAATGAAGCCGTTCTTTGAAACGCTAGTTTTTAACAGGTCATAAATTTTTAAAATTCTCAATACCTGGTAGATTAAAGTGGCTAAAAATTATCTTGGCTGGATGTCATTTTAAATGTATCGTTTCTAGTTGATTGTGAAACCAGTTTTATAGGTGGTAGTACTGCACAATCGGTACATCACGTTGTTGTTATTCGTCAACTGACAATATGTGACCTATTAGTGTCAAAAATTAAACAAGTGCAATAAAACTAAGCAAGCCCACGTGCCTTCGTCCATCTTTCCAGTTTTTCAAGAAATAGGTGGCCGGAAAATATCCGGATAAATATTCAGCTCTTAAAGCTATTTTTGAAAATAGCCAGCTATTTAACAACACTAATAGAAATTGAAAACAATGCCAAAATAGCGTTGTTAGTCAACACTCATCGACAAAATGTAGTAACATAGTTAAAAGTTAATGTTGAATTTTTTAAACTTTGGTATCATATGTAGAATGCTAGAATGAAATAAACTCTCAAAAAAGGGTGCTAGTTATTTTTTTTTACCTTTTCATTTTATCCAGTATTGTAGATAAACATTCACATGAAAACGAGAAAGCGAGGAAAGTTCTCAATTTGAGTGTGTAGTTTCGCCATCGTCACCTGTCCCCTTCACGCGATCCCGTTTGTTTATTTCAGTTATTAAGGTACATATTAAATACGGTTAAAATCAAAATAAATCGAGAATAAATGTTCAAATTCAAGCTGAAAAAAAAAAAATCGGATGTGGTAATGTCGTAATGATGGTGTTGACGGATTATAAAAATTCATTTCGTTTCGATGGAGATTCTTTTAACAATGGTAATTATTTAAAAACAAAGGTATCCTTTAAATAAGTATACCTACCACATTTTAACGATCAAACTACCTAGTACCAGGGGCGGCTCATGACTTGAAAAGTTGATGAGGCAAAGCACAATACGCTCCAAAATATAAATAAATCAAGATTACTTAAATATTTTCTACTTAGTCAAATAAACAAATTTGTAAACTCATTTAACTGTCCACCAAGAACCAACGTGAAGGTGTAAGGAACTCTTGTAAGGAAAGGATGGGAATGACAGGACAAAAGGAAAGGGAAACGTGGTCAAAAAAAACTAATATAACTTAAAAAAAAAACAAAATTAAAATAAACTTTAAAGAAAACGTATCGAAAAAAATCAAATACAACATAAAATAAACCTATTTGATTTATAACAAAAAACAAAACGAAAAACATATAAAACATAAATACTCTGGATTTATTTTAATCTTTTTTATAGATCAATAATTAACGATTTACTCAAATAAGGAACCGGCCGTTTTAATTCCTTAACTACATACAATTTATCATCATACGTGAAAGTAGAAAAATAGAACTGCTATTGTCATTTAACGTTAGTAGAGAAAAATTCCGATTTACTCGTAATCTTAAATAACGATTACCGAAATCAAATTATGACAAGCACAAAGCACTAACGCGACACACACAAACGTAGGCACTCGTAAGACAAAATTCTGTTACCGAAATTTTGAATCAATTTATACACACACAGATTTGTGGCAAAACAATCAACGGCCTAATTTTGAATACTTCTGCAAATGCAGACTGCATTGGAATCGCACGTTCTCCGCGCGCAAATATTGTTGTCCATCTCTTTTGCAAGCACGGAAATGAGGCTAGCCTCAATTTTGTCTTTTTTCAACTCATACCGCTTATGAGTGTATTGCAGGTTGCTTGCCTATTAACGATATGATTTCTATATCCGCTGTAGAGGCAAGCTCCGAGTTTGCCTCATTCGCGTCACAAAATACATGTTGTGTCGAGTGTTTCAGCGCGCTGTTTAATTAAGGGAGCAACGAGTACCTACTGAGATAAAAATAAGAATATAATTTTCCATATTTATTTTTAAAATTTTAGAAAAAAGACACAAATTATTGGCCGAAATGTGTCGTTGAAAATAGTAAAAATCCTAATAAGGCGTAAAATTCATTGGTGAGGCACTGCCTCACCTGCCTCATAGGACAAGCCGCCCCTGCCTAGTACTTAAAAAAAAATAATTAAACAAAATTGATGATATTATTTTAATTGATGATAATTTTCAAGGTCCTTTCTTTTAAAATGGATTAATGTGTAAAATTATATAGTTTAAATACCAGAATTGATAAATCTCGAGTGAGAAATTATGAAGTGTGGATAATGTAATAACTAATAACTTAATAACTAAAACAAAGCCATCCAGAAGTGCAGATATTGTATATTGTTGTTGAATAGGATGAAACCGGAATAAGTGAATTTCTTGCCCTGTATCTTACATGAACATTTAAATGATTGAACTGTGAATTTACAAGCAGTAAAACAAAAATAACACATTGGAATCATCAAAGCTTTACACATATTACACTAATTAAACTCGTTAGGTCGGACTGTGGCGTCGAATGAGATTCATTTTTATTTAAACAATTACTCTTTTATGAAATTGTAAATTTCTATGTACCAATTTTAACACGTGTTTACACTCACAATTAACATAGGTAGAGCAAATCCTATTGGGACCTTTTTTAAAACTACCTGCTTTGTCTTGTAGTTCCTCTACACATGGTTGCCTAAGTTATTTAATGGAATTTTTGTACAATGTAAAATGTACCTCTCTCTTGCTTGTCAATTTGTCAAATCTGTTAAATATTTTGTCACTATTTTGACACAGAATTTTTGTAATGTCATTATTATTCTAACCTATTTCAAAGGAGTCCCGGTTAAACTAGGAAAATTCACACAGTAATCTGTCATACTAACTTTGCTAGTTCCTGTTTTTTCTGAAGCCAACTGTATAAGTTAAATGGAACACTCTATATGTTTGAATATACTTTCAAATCAAGTTCTCTAATTTGTTTTTGGCGAATTGTATGTAAAATTCGTAATTTCTTATTCTCTGCAAAAAGTGTCTGACATGGTATCGGCGCGAATTTTTTATTAATTGTTCGTGTTACGCAATTTTGACCTTGTTGAGAGCGTCGGCGGTGTGCAAATTAGTTTGTTTAGGTGGTTTATTTGTGTTAAAAATAATTTGGTTTCTGGCTTAAAGTGAAAAGTGAGTGTTGTGATCTGCCCATGAGGAAGAAGTCTGCAAGGATCGGCGTGGAAGGAAAGGAAATCAGGATTTAAAGGGTAAGTTTTGCTATTAGGCTTTATGTATCGTCTATTATTCAATGTATTGTGCCCTGTTTTTTCAGTTCTTTTATTCTAAATTGATACAAAAATACGAATGTTAAGGGAGAAGTGGTTGTATTGTACAAATCGTTACTTAACGACTTAATAAATATGTTTGTTTTAACAAGAAATCAAACGTTAATGTCTCGTCAGACATTTATTCTTTAAAAATGGCATTTTCGACTAAAATAATTTGGAATATCAAATAAGTTTTATCAATGCTACCTGCTACCTGTGGGTTGAGCTACCTATCAGGCGCGTCCCCAGGTTGCGGATAGGGGAAGTGTCCCCTCAAGGGGACCGTACCGGCATTGTCTGGGGAAGGGAGGTCTAGGGAGGGCGCAAATGCCCCCCCGGAACTAAACAGTCTTGGGGTGGTAAAAATCCGACCTGGGTTTTCCCTTCTCCAGATATGTAGGTTAGGGCTGAGGTTCGTTTTGCCTGGACATGCCTTGGTGGTTGCCGGCTTAGACGGCCGCGAAGGCGGTTCAGTAAAGGCGGGCTGGAAATAAACGTGCCCTCCCGGGAATAAACTCCTGGCGTGGAATCGTCAAAACAGCCCCGCGGACAAGCTCGCCGTGCATGGAGACCCGTAAGGTCTCACTCGGCTGTGTCGTCGGGTCAGACCGCCGACAGGGTGAATCCTTGGGGAAAGGGTAGTCTGAGCACGCGTAGCCTCACTTCTTGAGGCTGCTTACTGCAGTCCCTTTGTTGGACTCCGTAGTGGGTGGGCACGCAGAAGAACGAAATCAAAACCCAAAGATATGGATAACTATGTGATAACCCAACCTTCCCGCCTTTGATTGACCTTGGAAAGGTTTGAAAGGCCCGCGAAAAATTCAAAATTTGGCCTTGGCTGTGATCGTCTAACAAATGGGAACCTACGTTGTGTGTTTTTTTTTTTTGAAAAGTGGCGGGAAGACGTTCTTTCATACAAGTGCATACACTACGTGTGATTCGAGAGCGCAAGAAATAATAGACAAAATTGTTTTGGAGGGAGAGCACGGCACCCCCTCGCAGGAGGAAAGAAGCTCCGAAGATTTACTCCTCAGCACAAAAACCCCCTTGTTTACTTTTTAAGATATATGAAAAAAGGACACTCGTGAATTGACATATGAAAAACGAACAAACGCAACATCCTATACATCTGTGTGGAATCAATGCAACTATTTGAATATCACAAATTTAATAGAAACAAAGCAAAATCCGACTTAAGTAACTGGATGCAAATACAGAAGTTATTACGGGCGTGTGGCGGCAATTAACAGGAGCACAACAAGAGTACCCCTGGGCATTCTAGCATAAGCGGAGTTTGTGGCTACCGGTCTGGGGCTGCTCTCCCCCCACGACGGTGATTCTATCTATCACAAAGCCTACCCGCACGCATATCTCCATTACGAACGTGCCCCGCGAAACTAGCCCGCTACGATCGCAGATCCGTAGTTGGGTCTCGGCTAGCACGAAGCCGACAGCGTTACAACACCGGCGATCGCCCCCTGACTCTATACAAACCCGCGGACTTGTGCAGGTGACGCGATCAATCTCGCCGGCTCGACTAGGAACCGAACCTCGCTTCTGCCACGTTTTCTGTGTTATTTAACCTAAATTCCATTTTTAAATATTCAATCTCTTATAACTCTGATATTAACAACTAAACAAGTGTTACAGTTTCAACGAGCAATAAACAACATTTAAATTCGCCACACAATCTTGTGAAAATTTAAACAACAAATAATTCTTATGTGAGATTAAAAATGGGACATCAAACAATTTATATGATAGAAACATTCATCAACAAAATATTTACAAAACAAACTTAGCAAGGATTTATGAAACAAAAGATCTGGTGTGAAATGAACTTGTGTTTACGTTCAATTAAAATTATACAACAAAGGAAAATTACGGAGGTTAAAATTGTGAGATTAAAGAAATATTGTATGAGGTGAAAATTTGCAAAGTTAACAAAATTTACATGAGATTAATATTTACCACACTTTATCAACGGTTTAAACAAAGAGTTTACTTTATGTCAAATTATATCATGATCTAAGTGATTGGTTACTTCAAAAAAACAATTTACTTTGAGAGTTTAAAATACCGCGAACTGGTTACCCCAACAAAACACATAATAAACAAACACAAAAGTATCCAATCATCGCTCCGAGGGAAAAAGCGTCTCGGTGATGTAAATTTTAAAATCGTTGTGAGGAAAAAACGTCTCGGTGATGTAAATTTTAAAATCGTTGCGAGGAAAAAGCGTCTCGGTGATGTAAATTTTAAAATTGTTGCGAGGAAAAAGCGTCTCGGTGATGTAAATTTTAAAATCGTTGCGAGGAATTGCCTCGATGAATTAATCATGATAACGATGATAACCACCTAAGGAAAGAAATTATCATAACCCCCGCCAGTTCGCAGTATAATGAACGTGTGTTTAACTGCCGTAAATGAGCTATTAGCAATCTTGTGTGAAGAATTAAGAAATGTTATAATGTAACACTTACGTATAAGCATCCAGAAACTTATTCGTAATTAAATAATAAGGTGTTTTCCTGACTAAATGAATTTCATGAAATCTTCTAGCACGTGGTTTATTTAAATAATCCTGATTGTTAAATTGTGTTTGCACTAGTTGACGATTAAGAAAAACTAACTTGATTGGTGAATTTTCAAACAATAAAACAAATTTACAGCACGTGTTTCGCGTTGAACGGAAGTCCGCAAATTTTCGATTAAAAGGCAGCAAGAATTAACTGCGCGGGTTGGGGACAACAGAGTGACGTCAGTTACGATTGATTGTCGTTAAACAAAGGCTTTCTCCCATTTTATTAACTACACTGTTACACTCACACAAGCACATTCCGACTGACGCTACGCCATGCCGCCCTTTGTCTAACCCTCTAACTAAAAACCCCTAGCGCTAAATCGTCCAACTACCAAGCAAGCATTTCCGTGCACCAGGTTGCCTATCTTTAACGATTTCCCTTTTTGTGATTGATTTTTTTTCTCTTTCAAATTCAAATTATTCAAATGTGATTTGGCGCCGCTGTTAATTAATTTCAGCGCGAAAATTTTGATTTAAATTCGGTCACCACAACGAAACAAAAAAACACACTGAGGAAGTGCCTTCGGCTGCATCTCAACCTGGAAACCCAGTTACTGTGGGGTTGTAACCTCCTAACAGGAAGCGAATCTGCGGCGATGAGGTAAAAACGTGGAGGAAGGCTCGCTTGGAAGCGAAGGCGGCAACTGCCGACCCGTCGAAATGGGGCCCATCCTCCTCCGGGATAAATCCCAAGGGCAAAAGACTACAACAGTCAACCCAAAATAACCCGGGGGAAAGACTTTAGGCTCAAAAAAGACAGTGCAGTCGTCAACCTCTACGCCTCCGGCAGCACAAAAGCAGAAGAGGATGACGAGGCAGGAGACCACCTCTAAAGAACATAGCTACAGGGAGGTAGCTGCAAGTCATCTCCGTGTAGCTGTGATTGCATCCACTTGGCAAGCTGACTGCTGACCAGGTGGGGTTGGTACAAAATGGACTGATGGGAGTACTGAACAGATAACTTGAACAGTGCCTGGCATCGGAACGGCAAGCAGCCACTTTCAGGGGCATTAAGTACACAGGGGAAATCCTAAGGATATTCTTGGGATGGATGAGGCCAAAACAATCAGGGAGAGGGAGGATAGGAAAAACTATATGATGTCCTTCTTCAACCTGAAACTTAAGGAGAACGAGGCGACGACTCAGGAAGTGCAGATCCTTTTGGAAGAGGCAGAAACCCCAGGGAATGATGCTACCAGTAGCATCGGACCCGCCTGAGACATAAGCTTCGTGTCTCCTAAGATAGGAATGAGATTTTTGGTTGCAAAGATGGCGCCTCAGCAAATAAATTTTATCCAGATTAACTTGCAATATATAAGTATATAATGGTATGACACGTCTCTAAAGAGGTGTCACTGTCAGGACATAGATGGATTATCTATACGTTAAAATGTATAGACATAGAGAAAAAGACGTACAGGAACCCTAGGCTGACGAACTGGGCTTTATACAATGAAGAACTGGAAGACCTCCGTACAATCGATACTAATAGAATATAAACGACAGAAGAAATAGAGAAAGCTTTGAGCATTATCAACTGTTCTCTAATGTCAAAGCTTATGAAAAAAGTTGCCCCCTAAAGAAGGAAGGCCTGAGCAAAGGTACACCATAGTGGAACCGAAGGTTCAGCCTATTTCAATCGGGACTAAGAAAACTTTTCAACAGAGCAAAAAACACTAAGAAAAGTGACGACTGAGAAGCCTATAAAGAGCACAGGAAAGAGTTTAAGAAAGAATTAAGAAAGAAGAAACGGGAAACGTGGAAATCCTTCTGCAGCGACATGTCGACTACTTCGGCCCCAAGAAAGAAGATGGCGCTTTTACAGCTACCCTAGAAGAGTCCGCAGAACTGTTGGAAACAGTGGTTATATTTATTAAACTTTCTTTTGTTGTTCTCTGGACATTCCCCAGTTCATGGAGTAAAATTTCAATTTGTCGTTTCCGTTTATCCGTTTGTTGTCGAATTTTTAGGCAAATATTCTCCGAAACCCTTTTTTTTGGTGTATTTTAGGTCTGTTATATAGATTTTTTTGTTCATTTTCAGTCTTCACCAAGAATCGTGTGTTGTAAATGTAAAATTTTGCTTCGAATTTCTGTTGTGATTTAAATTTTTTTTCTGATTAGTATTTTTTAAATCTTATCTACTTATTAAGCCTGGGTAATGTGAATTGCACCGTTATTAAAAATTAATTTCTATGGTATTTTTCTATGTGTACACAAAAATTTCATGTGTTTTTTGTTGCAATGGGCTCGTCAATGAAGAATTCGTTAAATTGTAGCAAAAGAAGCCTAAAGGTTAAAATTTTGCTTTATTTTTAAATTGAGTTTTTTTATTTTTTATCTTTATGAAGGCTATTTCGATTGGAAATTTTGTCTTATTTTTGTATTATCAAACATTTTTTTGACGTCTTTTTGTTACATATTTTGTAAGTATTTTTGACATTATTTTATGTCATCAGGGCAATTTTGGTCTAAATGGCACTAAAATAAAATTTTTATTATAATGCAAAAGTAGCTTGAGAAATCCTCAAGGCAAAAATAAAACTTACATAATTAAATGGTGAAGACAATTAGACGCTAATAACATAATCACTAAGAAAATATCCTTGCCAAAATCCGTTATTAATCTGTGTTCTATTTTCTCACTATGAGTAAAGAAAAATTTCCGCAGTAAATTTTGGACGAACACCCTGTATGATTTAGTGACCCGATCTTTAAAATTATTGTTTACCAGAAAGCAGAACTTGTAAGTTTCGGCACCCATCCGTGCATGCATCACATGTTACGGGTGATGGTGTGTGTCATGTTCATAGTACATCTCGCGTCACGACGCCTCGAGCTGTTGACGTCGGTCCTGTTTTAGCTCAAGCTTGGCGACGTCCGCACCAACCAGCGTCTCCAGTAGTTCGCGCCGACTGTGGCGGAGTGCGGTGCAGGTAGAGATCCCATGGGAACCGTTGCGTCGGGATACCATCAGCGTCCGAAAGTCGACCCAAAATGAAAGTTGCAACAGGTCAGTGTCGTTCGAGTAAAAACGCCTTTTGCTGCCTTCATTTTACCACGACGCTTCATAATTACCAGACCTGGAAAAACACGAGGCTTGCTAGCTGTAAAATCCGGCTCGAAGGGAAACAGACTCTTTCTTTTGGGTAGATTTTTGCGAAACGTGCGCTTACACATGAACGGATTGTTGAAAGAATGCCACAACAATTGTTGTTGTGCCAATTCTGTTACCATCGAAATTTACTAGTTTTTGCATTTTAAAAATACTGCTTGTATTTGTATCGTAGGATGGGCTAGTCTGACATATCGCGAGCACTAATTTAGATTTTAATGTATAATTTTTAAAATTGGATGTCATGGTTATTTTTGAAATAAAGAAAGAGTAAAACTGTTCTTCCTGATTAAATCAGGATGGTTAGGAAGCAGATGTGCGACTCATTTATTTCTTCTATGTAACGCCCCCATTTCTTATTATACGTTTTATTTTGTTTTATATAAATAGATATGCCAAACGTTTTATTTATGTACCCACACTAAGTATTTTTATTTTATTATGATACGATGAATATTAACCGCAAATATTTTTTTTGTGTAAATGTCATATTTACTCAACTTGTTACGTTAGTTTATAAATCATCTTTCGGTAAACAAAGATAAAGAGAATAAATCACTAATAATGTGTACGCTATGAATTAGGATATTACTAAAGAAAAAGAATACTTTCGTTAATTTATTTCAACTACAAAATTTTATTTTTATTCGACAAAAATTTACTTTTACATTACAACAAAAATAAATAACATAAAACACAATATTGAATGAAATTTTTAAAGTCGTTTTGAAGTATTATAAGTCGGTATTCTATAAAGCTCTGCAAAGTTCTATAGGCTCCTCTGGAACATGATTACCTTATATAGTCATCATTCATCGGTCAAACAATTTTTGAAAACCCTTTTCCCTTTTCGAAATCATCTCCACAGTTTGTTGCAAAAAAATGTACACCCACCTGTAGAATTTAAACAGTTACGCAATGAAGAGTGGTGTAGTTCCTACAAATATTTAAAGAATAATAGTAAGAGAACCGGCAGGTCAGTACATATGTGTAAATTATAGCCCTATTGTAGCTTAAACACGCCATAAATGCGTGTTTGTGTGTTCTACTTCAGTTTGTGACCTTAGAACCCCTATTTCGTTGTGCAGTTAAAGAGCGGGATGTGTTCCTACACGCAAATTGCGACTAGGAAAAAGCAAAATTTACACACGTAATTATAGTCTGAGAAAGTTTCCACTGATTTAAACAGGACTGTTAATTTTAACAAGAAAGCTACTAACACAAAAAAAAGCTGTCGAAACTGAAACCTGTCTGAAAAAAACGAGCAAAGTCCGACCAGTTGTGTATAAGTCAGTATCTAATAATATCTATTTAACTGAAAACCGCTGAGACTGTGTAACAGTAATATCAAAAGTTATTAGCGTGCTTTTATGGGAGAATTTGATTAAATTACCCGCTCTTGCTTCTGGAAGCTTAGAACAAACACAGCGGTTAAATTCAAAGTTATATTCTTCAATAGTTTGTTTACAACACTTACACACAGTTTTTTGTGTGGTAATTTTAGTTATAGTCCACTCTTTAGAAAACCAAACTCCACACATTTAAAATAAACATGTAAAACTTTTATCAGTGGTATCATAACTTAAGCGAAATGCTTAGTTAAGTTTTTAAGATGAAAGACGCTTTTCTCCAGTTTTAGTTCTATGGTTTTTACGTCCGGAGTGACAGCCAAAGGAAATAAACACACACATTACTCTAATCATGATCCTATAAAAAAGTAGTGTAATAGGGTCATTTCGACGAATATCTGTCTAATTGTGTGTTTTCTTGACATTTCGCGGCTCGTAGAATACGGAAATAAAGGTTGCATTTGTTGTACATTTGTCAATTGGAATTAAAAAAAATGTTTATTTATCCCATTAAAAAATTCATGACGTAATTGTTCTGAAATTATTGTGAAACGAATCGCACAATATGTAACGAACATGTTTCTTTGTTTGTGGTGTAATAATCCATTATTTCTGTTATTAGCGTCACTCACAGGCATTCTCATAACAAGTTTGTACCATCAAGTTATTCAGGTTATTTAAAAAATTACAGAACAAACTTTTCTTTTGTTACTATAGCTCTAAAATTTTTATGCACAATTAAAAAACACATTACTCTAATCACGTAACTGAATTCGATGTTATGTTGTGAGTATTACCAATGTGCTTGTATTTTTAGAGCTTAGCTAGAAATAACTACAGTTCGGTTAAAGAGGACTACGTAAAATATAAATATTACTATTGCAGTTACGTTATATTGTTGGTGTGATCTCAGACATCTAAATTAAAACCAGTATTTTTTTGCTTTATTTTATAGTTTAGTAAGCCACAGTCTGTTAGGATAGGCATAATACGTCGTTTGTAAAGTAAGTTGAATAATTTAAAATTGATCTTTTAAAAAATCGTTGAATAAGTAAGTTATGTTTTTTATTCAAACGGGCGTTTTATTGTTCATACAGCATGAACTGCCGTGTCGACAGATTTGTTAAAGAACGACTTAAACTGTGTCTGGTGTATAAATGAGCTCTAGGTGGATTCAAGGATCAACTGCTTGACCTATCTTAGACATAGTGTAGATTTCGATTAATTGAATGTGAACTATTTTTAAATGTCAGAGACCCATGAACTATTTGGTCTATATCGGAAGAAGGTGTCAGTTTTTCTGTAATTATCGAAATATGCTAGCATGATCTCTTTTTGGTAAAATGTGTTAACACATAGTTTAAGCTTTGGTCTTAACTATTTGTGGAATACGATGTTTTTTGTAATTTTTGGAAACATTTTTACATACATTTTAAATCTTTATGAAAACGTGCTGAATGACGCACGCTCGTATGTTACTTAAGGCACTTGGGTGTCTTAAGTAGCACCATTGAGTCTGACGTTTAGCTGTGATAGTTTCATATGATAAAATTAAAATTATGTGGTTAATTTTGGGCATTTTTTGCAAAAGTAGAAAAACAGAACTCACTGAGTGTTGTTTAAAAAAGCTGATCCAAAGTCACAAGAAATATGATAAAATTTGATTCTAAAGTAGCGGTATGTTTCAAGTACGATTATTACAACTATCTTAATTATATGCTGACATCATTAACTTTTTTGTGAGGAGATATATCGACTGACTATTAATGTTTGTGATTTTTTTATAAGGTTGGCAACATATTTAAAATTTTATGATGCTAAATTGTAACTTTGGGCATCAGTTCAGTAGCTGCCATCCTCGCATTGCTTTTTAGGCGGGCTCCTGTCAACAATGACAATCCTGAACTGACAGCTAACATTGCCAGTAATTCAGAATTGTCAACCTAAAAATTTATTTCAATCATTAATAGTCACAAGACGAGCTCTACAACAAATAGTTAAACCAACTGATAAATGACAAAATAACATAAACAAATAAGTTTAACTTCATATATTATGGATACGAAGTATTTCATCCATAGATAAGAAATTTAAAACCGTAATTGGACCAAAAATTAAGTATCATCATCACTTATGATTCGTACAGGATGTTAATTCAATTAACACTAGCACTGTATATTAAAACTGGGGGAAGCCTATGTAAACAGTTTTTGATATTATCAATAGAAAACTGCTCGATTTACTATTTTTTTGAGACATCCTATACATATAAACAACTCCAAAAAATAAGGATACAAATGAAGGAGCATCACACTATAGGTACATTTTAAGCTAGATCTACATGCTAAATGGAAAGGATGAGAAGGTTAGTTCTGAATCGATTTACCATGTTCAGGATAACCTAAAATATCAGACTAGTTTCGTAATTTCTAAGTAATTTTCCAAAAAATGTACAGTTGCGACCATAGAAAACCGGACCATTTTGATACACACAAAGTTTTAGTTTTGAATTTTTACTTTCCGAGCGTAAAAGCATTTTCTCAACTTTTCATGACCCCCTAGAGAACGGAGAAATAGGTCTCTCGTTTCCGTCCGTCCGTCTGTCTGTCGGTCCGTCTGCCGTCCCGACTTTTATTAGACAGATAATCTCCGAAAGTTCTGGGCCGATTGTTGTCAAAGTTTATATTAGGAATGTCATGTAGATGGTAAAACTCTAACCAAAATTTGTCTAATCATCCCCACCTCTAATGTGATGACATCACTTCATAATTGTACATAGTAAATGGGTTCTAAATTGTATAAAATAACATAGTCCTGCATATGTAGTTTATGACGCCGTGTTAAGTATTTATCGGAAATGTCCAGATTTTTTGGAAAAAAAAATAAAAATTATAAAAAAACATTTTGCAATTTAATTTTGAATCTGCAAAACCGAATGTTTTGAAATCTTGCAGATGTTTTAAAGTTATGCTAAGCATAATAAATTTTTAATCAAAATTTATTTACTTATCCCCTCGAAAATTAGTCAGCTCAAAATTTTGCGGAATAAATCTTATCTAAAATGTCCAAAATATAATGAGTTTGTACCTTATTTTATTGATTTAATCAAGAACTGCAAAACCGAGTGCTTTGAAATCTTGGAGATGTTTTAAAGTTATCATAAGCATGGTAAATTTTTGATCAAAATGTATTTGCTCATCCCCCCTAAAAAAATAATGACGTCATCTCAAAATTTTGCCGAATAACTCCATCTAAAATGTGCAAAATATGATCAGTCTATACTTGTTATTTATCATTGCATCCATATTTTTTGGGACCACGAGTCACTCCATTATGTAATAATGATAAAATAAGAATTATAGTATTCGGAACATTTTGTTTGACTGTGGTTTAATTAATAATTTTAATCCTGTGTTTTGAGAAGACAAACTCATTCAAATGAAACTAATTTCTACGTGACATTCTTTCGATGTATAAACCTAAATAAACACTTCAGCTTCAGATTGCTATTACCAAGTGCTGAAGGACATTTTATCCCGTTAGTTAAGTGCTTTAAATATATTTTACATTGTACCACGGCACACGGCTTGCGGGGGCGTTTATGCCACTGGTTTTTACTTTACCGAGGTTAATTTTATAATTTTTTAAGACCTGAATTTGTTCAAGGACGAGGGAAGTTCTTTCGAAATAGCTTTCCAGGTTAATTTTATAATTTTTTTAAAGACCTGGATTTGCGTCCAATTTTTTTAAATGTCATAATAGCAATTTGAACGGACGCTCCAGATTTGAAAAAACAAAACAATAATTACATGAAAACGTGTGTCAAAACCTAGTGGTCCAGTTTTCTATGGCCGCGATTGTACATGCATAAAGTTAAACATGAGGGTGTACTAATAAATCACAGGTACGTATATCATTTTAAACACTTTAAACAGACTTTACTTAGCAAAATTTTAATATAGTTTCATTAAATTTTTTAGAGGGATGACGAAATAAATTTTGGTTAGAGTTTTACTATCAATCGACACGATATTCTTGATATATTTGTAAAATTTCACAATAATCAATCGAATATTGTCAAAGATTAGATGTTTAATAAACACAGACATAATGGACAGACAGACTGAAACAGAGACCTGTTTTCCATATTTTGGGAGCAACGTTCAGAAATCATAAGATTAGCTGTTTGTCAAATGGACCCTATTATAACACTTCCCTAGCTTAGGGTCGGGAAGTGAAATTGTAAATATTTTTGTAGTAAAAAAATGTTCAAGGGTTATGGAAAAGTATTAAAAGTGCTATTACACAATTTTACGAAAATTTATTCTGTTTGAAAACGTGTGCATGAAGTCATAACAATGATACCACGTAGAAATGAAAGTTTTGTAAAAACATACAAGCAGGAAAATTTAACAAGATATATTTTTTTTAGTAAAATTTAGTAAGTTGTAGTTTCAACTCTTTTCTCTTCTCTTTTACCCAAAACTACCCCTCAATAATTTTTGGTCCGAAAAACCTCTTTAAAACACCGTTCCTATCGAGAATGTTTTGTTTCTCGAACCAACCATTTCCTTCCATTTTCAGGGTGCTCTAAATGTGCCCTAATTGTAATTCATCGCTGTAGATGGAGCAATTATTTATTCAGAGAGCATCCTCGCGTTAATATACCTATATAATTATAATAACTAAAAGATCCAACACTGGTCATTTCCATATTTATTTCCCGAGCGTAAACTAAGGGTCCATCGCCTATTTTCATGTTTACTCGACGTTTCAGGACCCTTACAATACGAAACAATAGGTTCCCCGTTTCCTTCTGCCTGTCTCTCTGTCTGTCTGTCGTCTCTGTCGATTTTGATTGGAAAAATGATTTGACTCATTCGAATCTCGACTGCGAATAAAGTTCCTCCTTCATTTGTGGTTTATGAATCCGTTTTGAGTGTTTACCCTAAACATCCAGATATTTGGAAAGAAAAACCAAAATTGTATAATTTAGCTTTGGAAGAGGAAAACGGAATAGTTCGAAATGGCGTAAAAATCTTAAGGTTATTGTGCATGGTAAATCGTTATTGAAAAATTATTGTATTCACCGGAATTACCGAACCAATTGTTGTAAAATTTTATGTGTATCGTATACGGTAACTAACATTTATCTAATCATCTCTACTAACAATTTGATGACGTCACCTCAAAATTTCGTATGGTTTTTATTTTATAAAAATATCATATTCCAAATGTACTTGTGGTTTATGAATCCGCCTTGAGTATGTACCTTAAAAATCAAAATTGCATTACAACATTTTAGAGTACCTAGTTCAGCAGTCACGCGTTAGCTCAGGGGTTAGAGCGTAATTTGTTTAATAGTACTGCAAATAATTTTTTAATATATCGTATTGTATTGTTTATGGAACGTATGTTTTTTGCAGCAACACTGTGTTAATGTTCATTTGTTAGCATATGTGATGCAATTGTTGCATTAGCAATAATTTAGAAAATACATTCACTTCTGTTTAGATATTAACTAATAGTTTCAACAAATTCTTTACTAATTCTTTTTTCGTTGCTCTTTTATAATTTAAAATTTCGAGTCGTTAATGCCACACGCATTCTAAATAACACATCATTTCATGTTGCTGTGCAATCCGACTAGCGTAAGCAAATTTCACATCCGTGCGGTAATAATACTTACATCCCACTTACTTAACGTAAATAATCAGTATGCTTGAGTGTCCTTAGCCTTAACGCACTGTAGATATTTTTATAAAAATGTATACCTAACATTTGTTGTTATTAAATATTTCTTCTCTCTATTATTCAGTTATGTAATAATTGAATATTTTCAGATTTACCAGCACTTGAAAAATTTCCGCCACGATTTCGAGACGAAGGTTCGCAATGTGTATCGGTTTCGGAAAATTCGAACGCAATACTTTCAGCGGAATTATACGAGATTGGCAGCGATATAGAGATATCATGGTAAGTACGATAAAAACGAACATGAAATTTTATAAAAAGTTATATTATATCAATCAAATTCGTCTACAATTATCAATTTAAAAACAAAACAAAATTTGTTACAGTCATGAAAATTACAACACTCAATTGACTACAATGTGTTAAAATAACTTAAACTATGTACATACCTACATATTTCATATTCAGATCTCTTACGAAAGTTTAACTGGCATAAACAGTCGTAGGTAAATCTTGCTATAATGTGTAAATTAAAAAAAAATACATTTTACAGTCTTCTGGCCGAAGAATAAATTTAATTTGTTTATAAAAACGCATAATATAAAAAAACAAGACTTTATGGCAGCAAATAACAATTTTATTTCAGTTTTATGAAATTTCATTAAAATAGAACCTGGCTTAACCGCCTAAAAATACAGATGAACGAACACATCACAGAGGTTATGAACTACATCTATAGTTTGTATTTTTTTTTAATAAATTATCGTTGTTAGTAGTTTCAGTGCCCTTCTCTTGTGCATGACATTGATCCATGGCAGCCAAGTGAATAGAAAATAATAATAACACCGTTTCTCATCGAGAGATAAAAATATACTAAGGACAATATTATTGGGTCCAGATACTTCGCGACGTCAACGACGCTTTCTGTGTTTCACATACAGTCGTTGAGTTGGCAGCGCGCAATTCGTGTGCTTTTTGTTCCCGCTTCCACGGTTGTTTTACTTTTGTGTTACACGAGTTCAACAAGTGCCACTTATGTTTACAAAATCTCTGTGCTTTGCTTACTTGTATATTTTTAGCGATTCCCCTCTCTCTAATTTTTCATTTTTGCCATTGTATCGGAAGTAGAACCATGTTGACACTACCTGACAACTAATAGTAGAATTCTGAATTAACGTAGAAATCAATGTTGATAATAAAATACTACCAGAAATAACTGTTTCGTACTTCAAGTCCTTGTAAAAGTAGTAGTACCCTGTAATATTTTTAATCCTGGCCCTAAGTGAAGATCAAGAATTTGGCTTTCACAACTAACTACCAGATGTTTTTAAAAATAGGTCGCTCTATTAACCTGTTTTATACAGAAATTTTCACTTCTAATTTCTTTATCTTTATAAAATAAGTAGTGCGGACAATGAAAGGACGTGAAATGGGTATAAACAGAAATTGTGGTTGCGCTACGCCAGACTGATAAATAATGGGACAAAAAGTTACAAAGTGTTGTAAATGTTCCAGTGGGAAGCATCACAGCGGGGCGAATTGCAATGATTCTTCGTCTGACGGGTGAGATTCTTTCCACATTCTGACACTTTTAGATCTCGAGAAGAATTTTTAACCAAGAATTTTTCACTTAATTATTTTGTTCCCTAAAATAATCTGATGTTTATTTGAATGCTTTAGATCTACTTAGTAACGCCTACCGCTTTTATGTCTAGTGTACGAGGATTTTATTTATAGGGGAATTAATGTATCAATCAGTTGTTCCAAAAGTGTCTTTACTAAGTGACTTAGCTTAAATATAGCCTAATGTTAAAAAAGAACAAAAATTCAGGAATCTCCTACAACCGAGACATTGTCAACAAAATCGACATAAATAGCCAGTAACTTTATAACACGGGTTTATTTTAGCTCCATCAGTCATAAATTTTATATCATTGAACGCATCTGTTTAGATGCAATGCCAATTTAAATATTGTTTCAAACCCAAATCGATAATATCATGTTTGCTGCTACAATAAACACACACAATTCAAAAATAAAAAAATAAAAATATTTTTTGTCGTAAAATATTATCACACTACAAATACTTCAGCACAAAACTTGCCGACCTAAATTTATATTTTTTTTTTGCGCAATTTTCACAAAAGTGTTCTAATTCCAAAACATATGTGTTTACGAGAATCTGAAAATTGTGTTCAGACTGTGTGTTTATGACGGAGATGCTTACTAGAATAGAATTTACTTGTTTAGGTTTAATCTACCAACCTTGATATTCATAGTTGGGAATTTTTTCCTTGATCCTGAAGTAAAACGCTTTTTGTCCCTTAATGCGTTTCTGTGCCTTTGAAACTCAATGGAGCTCACTTAAAACGTAAAAATAGGAAATTGGTGCTATTTGCAGGAATTGTTTATGCGTAGTACTAGTTTATAAAACACAGGATGTTTTATCTAGGATTCATCACTTGTATAAATTTTTTTTATTTATAAAGATAAATTAAATTGGAAGTATCGCGTCTTAAAAACCACTAGGTTGTTATGGATTTATGTAGTAGAATCTAAAACGATTATGTTCAAGAAAAATAAGAAAAAATAAACGTCTTTTAAAATTTTCATTAGTTGTTAATAAAAACACTACCTTGATGACTGGACATATTTTTGGGTTAGGTCAATTATTATTATTTGTTTATAGTTTATTTATTTTATTGTACAGTAATAGCTTATTAGAGCTAAGGAAGTATTGAAATAAATAACGTCCATTGAGGGACATTTTACTTTCATATTTTCTCCACGTATCGTAGCTTCAAGAGTACTAAAAAATAAATCCTCTGTTTCTTTTGTCTGTTTGTCGGTCGTTTGTAATAATCTCCGAAATTACTGGACCGATTGTTGTCAAATTTTGTATGTTTAATAGGATGGTAAAACACTAACTAAAATTTGGCAAATTACCGTCACCAACATTTTGATGATTTTTTACCCAACAATTTTTTTCTTAAACTGTGGTGATTCTTTTAATTTCTCACAATAATTCTTGAAAAGGCATTTCAGGGGCAAGGAAAGTTCTATCCAAATAACCTTAAATCAGTTTTTTATCCCTGAAAGGCCATATTTATTTTCTCTGAATTTTAGAATAAAGTGACATTCCAAGTGTTACATTTATACAAATTAATATTAACATCTTTATGCTTACCAAAAACTGTTAAATACATTTCTATTCTAAAATGTACTCCAAAATGTATTAGATGTGCTTGAGAGACGAGGGACGTTATGTCTAAATAACTAAATAATATACATAATAGATCAATTCAAAACGCTATTAATAATGATTGTTACTACATATTATGTAGACTATGTTCACTTTGTACGTAGCCCAAATTTTTAAGTGAAATAATTGTTAACAGTTTCAGTGTTTACTGAAACGAAAGCTTAAAATTATCTTAGAGTTCCATCTGGCCAAGTTTCAGATTTTCTTGGCCCTCATGTGTAAAAAAATTAGCTATTAAAATCGTAAAGTTTACGCCTCAGACCGATGACATTTATTTGTAATTGGAAAAGATAAATTTCAATGGTAAACACATTTTTTTTGAACCAACAAAGATTCGGCAGAATTATTTAGAAAACAAACTGCCATAATAATTAAAATGCCAAATATTATATATGTATTTCAGTGACATGGATTTATCTAGAACATTTTCCATAGCACCGTCATTAATTAAACAATGTTAATGGACTTCGAATTAAGAAGATTGCACAATATAGATTATAAAGAGATTATATTAATTCCTTAATAATCCATCATTATCTTTTTGTATAGGCTGTCCTAATATAAAATTAGGATACATTATTAGATTTTGAAAATTACACATTTTTCAGAATTTTTGTTATGGTGCTAACAACTATTTAAAAATTGCGGTTTGTTAACTAAAATTTCTTCTCTCGGTGCAGGGTAACAGTATAATGTTTATAGAGAATGCCAACGTGATCGGGAAAATGCGTCAACAATATTTGTAATTTTGTACTTTTGGTGCTACAGGGACAATAAAAGTGCCAAAATATGTCTTCATGCCGTCGAAATTTTCTGCTGTTTTTTCAAAAATTGTTAAATAAATGTTTGGTGAAAAACAGGCCTTGTGTTTTAATAATAATTTTACCGTCAACTGACTTAGAAAGAGTTCATCTAATTTTCTTAAAATTATAAAAACACAGTTTAATGTTATATTTCACATAGTAAAATTAATATATTTATTTAATGAATGTTATCATGTCCTTGAATCTTCGTTTAAATATATTTTTTTAGGTTCCAGCTTTATGATTTAATAATTTCACGTTACTTAATTTCGATAATGCCAATTGGCAATTATCCATTAATACTAGCGCGGAAAGTTCTGTCTGCATATTCGAGTGTGCGTTTTTTTTTTTGATAGCTTATCTCAGACCATATTTTTAAGTATTTTTTTAAAAACATTTGAGATGACGTCATCCGCTTTCCTGAAGAGAACCTATGCTAAAATCTCCTTCCGTCCTTTTTTACACGCTCAATATAATCATAGATGTCACACTGTACATTTTATGTGACATTTGAATAACAGCATTTTGAAACAAGGCTTCTTAAATTAAGGTCCGACTTTTCAAATCTTTTTGAATCTTAAGTTACAATTAAAGTTTCAAAGTGGTAGTTCAGGATTTTTGCTTTCTCATTGATGAGTGAGTAATTTCATGAATTTTTGATAGCTCACAGAATACGAAAATGTAAGTTTCTGTTTGTTTATGGATTATCATCTGTCAGTCCGCTAGTGTATACGCACATCAGTTTCTAAAATAACCCATTCGGTGTAACTTTGATATTTTTTTTTACTCTAAAATGATCATGAAGATGATGAAATGTTAGCCAGACTTGTATATCATTTCAGAGTATTGTTACGTAACTCTTATAATAATTGTTAGCTTAACATGCTTTCTTATCCGTGGCTTAATACCCCACTCCTATTTTTAACTGTACGTAGCCGGATTGTCCTAAAAATATTCTTCCACCATCAAATCTTACGGCTTGTCTCATATATTACATAAGAATTTTTTTTTAGAAATACTAGGTTTAAAAAATACAAAACATTAAAATATTTATTCATTCACTCAAAAAATATAGTGGCACTGAAAAATATATTATGAAATTCTGAAAAATGCTGTTTATTTTTGTTTATTGAAAAAAAAATTGAGATGTAGTAATGGTTGTGTTTGAGTAATATGCTTAAATTTTTTTGAACTGCTGCCATAAAGTGTCTTTAAAA